GATATAATCACTGAGATATACGTGAATTTAAATCTTGGCGCGCTTTGAAATTTGGCATATTTGTTATAAGCGGTAATAAGGTAATAACTCCAAATGTGTTTACTCACTTTGTTAAAATTATTTGAAAGTATGAACGATGACCTATTTTTCCATTCATGTATAGTAAAAAAAGGAAAGGAATATAAGTTGCTATAAATTAACGGGGGGATTATTCTTGGTGCAAACTGAAAAAAATGCGCAAAGATAAATTTTTAAAATTCCTCCATAAATTTCTCACCAAAAGTTTGAAAATTTAATATCTAAGCGTAATTTGAATCATAGAATCGAAATACGAGTTTGGATATTCTGGTGTCAACAGTATGCTAGTCATTACCGTCAGTCATATGCCGATGCGCTTGAGCCGTTATTGATACTACACCATCTAAGCGTTACATATTGTCAACCCTGACCAATGTCGATTCAACAGTGTCTGTCAATGTCAACAGCCTCTTTAAATTTTTCAGTTAAATGTATTGTGTCCGGGAATAGTTTTGTTGTGTAAAGGAATAAAATTAAATAATCATTCTGTAATCTGGATCTTTGAAATAACATGTTGTGAAAACAGATTTTCGGAGGACAAGCTTACGTATTCTTTCTAGGGTTGTTGGCTAATTGTTATTCCGCAAAATTAAAAATTTTAATGGATGACGCTCGCTTATGTCTCTAGGTAACTTATTTTAAAAATTAAATAAACGTGATCTTTAATTTTTGGAATTCGTAGTACCTGATTTTAAATACTAGTTATCAGCGTTTATTTGGCACTCGCGTAGACTTGTAATTTTTAAACGTTTTCTTATATAAGTGTGAAATTTAGATATGGAAAATAAGATGGGAAGGAAAAGTGCAGTTTACATTTTACACATTAAAATAAGAAGAATCACATTGAATTTTACGCATAATAAAAATTAAAGTTCCTAATTTGCAGGATGAAAAATAAAAAAACTGCAAAAGGAAATCATATTACTGTCGAGTCAAATGTCACTCAGGTTCTTCCGAAAATAAGCTACTGCATTTGGAAACACAATCCTTTTTCCCCCGCCGCTGAAAGGATAAAACTGTATGTGGTTGGCTTCGTAATAAATTGAGTTTTCTGAAATGTCTGAAAGCTGCTTACCTCTCTCATATCATGTGACTCTACCGTTTTGAATATCAACGAATTCGAACCTGCATGTTTTAATTTGATAGAAACTCTTCACTGTGCATTTATGCACTTTGAATACATTTGCGACACAGAATTAAATTAAAATAATATATAAATTCCATTATTTAAGCTATGAAATGGCAAATATTAATAAATACTATAGGCCATATTCCAGTCACGGGCTGCGAGTCGGTATGGCTGATTTGCATTATATTTGGCTTAAAGTTTTACTGTATTTAATTTATTGCTCGTAATTTATGTTACATGTTCTTTGAAAAGTAAAACGAAGGTCTCAGTATGAATTGCCATCTTTATCATCATGTATCTGTGTCAGATTTTAATTGTTAACCAGTCATACCAATAAATGTAAATGTTGTACCCCAATTTGAGCATCAAAATAGACTAAATTTAGCCATTGCGTAGCCTTGATTGGAAATAATTTTTGAGGTACAGCTTACTTAACTCCCCTCACAGAACAGCTAATCTACCTGGAAACAGAGCTTATCAGCATGTTCAATCCCTATAAGTGATTTTAAATTCATTCACGGGTCCAAAGATGTTTCCTTTCAGCTTTCTTTGTAATAAAAGACAATGGCGGGAAGGTCAACCTTGACGTTAAAGTATTATATTATAAGGGTTCACTTATAAAGCTTAAAGAGGCAAGAAAGAGTAATTCAAGTGTTATTCATTTGTTTAAAATGGATATTTCTTCTTCGGGGTTCTTGACAGTTTTAGAGCTTTTCATTGCAGATACATGTATGCATGGTTACAATACAATTACAAATAACACTGGTGTATATGATATGAAAAAAGATTCATGTGACAAATAACTGATGCATAATACTGGTACAATATGATACTGTTCAGCAACTAGACTTTTCGTCTTACGCCAAAACAAACTGAAGATTTACTGTAAAATCATTTACATCATGCTAAACTAAGAATCTTCTATTTTTCCTTTTTTTCGCTTAAATGCCATTTTTTTCCCTTGGTTTGCTTTCAGTATTTTGCTACAAGCCGGAAGAGAAACTATATATATTTACTGAAATATTTGTGAAATGAACGTTATGTAAAAGTCATCACTCGATTTTCTCCAAAACGTCGAAAATTAGACAGGTTTCCCTCGAAATTAAGGTTTTGCAAAATTGTTATGTTGGGCGTCTTGTTTGCAATGTTTCAGCTACAAAATTTTAACCTGAAATGTCTGTGTTTCCTTGAGCAAGGGAATATGGCAGTGAAACATGTTTTACAGGCAAACTTCATTTGATTGTGAAGCAGTGCCTTATTTGCGTTCTAAACATTTGTGGAAAATACTTGTAACGCAGTTAGTTCTCCCCGAAATGTTATAAAAAATTGTTACCTGTTCCCTTTCAAAGCAGGCCCACTAGCGGCCAAGCAGTACATTGGCAGTTCGTTCCGGGGTTCGAATCCCGGTGAATGGCCTAGCTGTATGGGCTGTTTTCGTGTTTGTCACCATGTGTAACATATATACGAGCCAGTTTCCATTAGAAAGTCCTCCACGACGACATAGCTCCCTTTAAGCAGATAGCTCTCGAGTGCTTTGCCATAGTAAAATAAACCAAACGAAACCAACCCCTTCAAAGTAACGTGCATCTTTACCTGCACACTTATTCCAACGTTTCTAATGTTTCCCGAAAGATTCTTTTGATATCTGTCATAGACTGGCCATCACGCCTTTTTAATCAGTTTGGATTTTCTGAGAGGATTTTCTTACAAAACACCTTAAAAAAGAAGAGGGATATCAAATGATGAAAGTTCTGGTGACATGGTTGTGATATGTCAGAGATCTGTTTCTGATTTAAAAAAAAAAAAAAAAAAAAAAAAAAAATTCTTTGCTGAAAATGCGACAACGTACTGAATGGTCGAATGATACTCTAATTTCATTTGCACGACACTAGAACGCAAACTATATTCTCTTGGAGGATCATAAAATTCTTTACAGTGAGTACTTAATGCTGTTTAACAGCGATACTCAGTTGTTAGAAATTTCATTCGTATGGCATGACTTTAACTGAAATTTTTAAGACAGAGGTTTCACTATGGGAAAGCACGCGAGGGCTATGTGTCTAAAGTAGGGGATGCCTTTGTGGAGAACTTTATAAGGAAAAACTAAAACCATGAAAACGCAAAAGCAGCCATGCTATTCGTCGGACTTTGAATCCGAATCGAACTATAAGTATTTAGATCGGCCAGCTCAGTCTTTGGCGAGTCGTACTTAAACAGAGGGTCAATATGATAAGTAATTGCACTAAAATAATTTATTTCTTGTGAGTTTAAAGTGCTTTACAACGTATCAAATTAAAATATGTTACAGTAACATAAAATTATCTATTAAATTTCATAAAATTTCATAGTCAGATATAAATATTTCCATCAAAGTTTTTTTTTAAGAAAATAATCTCTTTGAATCCGATTGAAATATATTTCTTTGCAAATGAAACAAAATACAAACTGTTCACAATACAGAATGACTTCAAGTTAATGGTCATATTAAATAATTAAAATTAAGAAATTGCAGTTATTTACGTTGAAAGTTATATTCTCTAAAAATTAGCAGTAGTTTTTCAGTATGCTGCCCTATATCTATCAAAAATATTAATTCATGTTTATATTAAAATAGCTCTTGTTAACTCAATGATGCCCCTGTGCGGGACTAAACTTATTTTAATTTTACGCTAATATTTTCTTGAAATATGTCGTCAGGAATTTCGGAGATCTCGCGATCTTAAAATATGCAAATTGTTTCAGTGTTCAAAACAGATTTTTCTCTTTATGGAGGATAATGTTTGAAAACATCATGGTATTATCAATTTAAAATTTTAATAAAAGCGTAGGTTGCAAATATCTTCATGTCGAGACTTAAGTATAAACATTTGTGTTTTGTATACACCATTCTTTATTATTCAAACATTATTATAAAATGCAGAAACTTGTAGATAGATATTTGAAATTTATTTTATCCTTAATTGCATAGCTAGATAACTGTACATAGATATTATTTGATAACAAACAACCGAAAAGAACATATTAACAAAGTACAAACATTTTTATATCTTTATTCAGTGAGAACTGTTCGCAATTTGCGGATACCAGCTTCTTTCTAATTCTCGTTTTTGTGCACTATTGTTTCTGCATGATAATTAATACCTAACAGTGATAACACTCTTTAGCAAAACGTATGCTAAAGAGTAGATAGAGAGAGATAGAGATAGATAGAGATATATTTCTCTTTAAATTATTTCAACTTTCAAGGCTTTTTTCTTAGTAAATAGAAATATTTTAATGCAGAAATAAAATATTCTTACGATTTCTTTTTAATACTTTATTTTAAAAAAATTCACATTTTCAGAATTGAGAAAATTTTTAATTCCTATTTAATTTATTAAGAATTAATGTAATAGACACTAGAATTTCTCACTATTATTTTCATTTATTAAAAATTCACACGTTTTATACTTGAAAGGTACCTTTCTATGATAGCTTTTCAGTGTCAAATTGGAATATTAAATGTGATCAAATTATAAGATTTTATATTATTATACTTCAAGTGAAATTACAGGCTTTTGTTTTACTTTGATTTGTCTGTTAAAATTAAAAGTAATGATTAACAGACTGGGTGTTATGTTTTTAACTGCATGAATGCTATTTGGTTTTATGGGTATTTTTCCTTTTACATTGCTCAAATATGCACAAGTATGAATGAAGTTATATGAGTGAGTTATCACAAGTGTAAATGATATTGGCTTTTAGTTTATGTCCTTGCATACTTTAGTAACTGAAATTTGTATTTTCCAGACATGGTACGAGGTGCGCTGGTGAAGTGGCGGCCAATGCAAATAACAGCATATGCGCTGTGGGCGTTGCTTACGATGCCTTAGTGGGCGGTAATTATATGTTTTTACATTTAGTATATTGTTTACTCTTATATCTATACTTTGGACTTGCAGGTCTAGTCTTTTAGAACATAGAAAGAAAGAGTTTCAAAAGTTTTTTCTTCATTTAATATATTTTTTACTCTATAATGTCAATACTGTGAACTTACAGGTGTAGTCTTTTAGAATACAGAATAAATAGGTTTTTTACATTTAATATATTTTTTACTCTATAATGTCAATACTGTGGACTTACAGGTATAGTCTTTTAGATTACTGAAGAAAAGAGTTTTAGAAATTTATTTTCTTTAATGAATAAATTTAATTATGCAAAACGTATATAAATGAACTTTTATAGTTCATAAAAATTAAAGCAACAGTAAGTAATATCAGTTTTAAATACCGAATTTGTTTTCTAGTCTCGTATTACAAATACCTAATCGGTGTCCGCCGAAAACATCACGGACAAAATATCGCGGACAGAAACGTCGCGGAGAAAACGTTGTGGTACGAAACATCGTGGGAGAAAATAAAGCAAAGAAAAAGCATCACAGTTCTAAAACATCGGGGTACAAAATATCGTGATCGAAAATAAAGCGGTTTAGAAACGTTGCAGTTTAAAAACATCGTCATCGAAAATATCTTGATAAAAAATAAAGGACCTAAAAATCATCGCGTGGCGATAGCATCCCACACATGCGTTTTCAGGTTTTAAAAGCAGTAAATGCATTTTCGCGTAATGATTTGGGAGCGCAAGAAGGAAAGAGGGATATTTTTACTTTTATATTACATATTTTCAAATGAACCAATAATTTTTTACTCAAAAATAAGAAGGAAACTTGAGCATTTAAAAATTGAAAATGAGTAGAAAATTAATGCAACTTAGAATTTCAAATAGAATAGAATTTCAAATTTACGTAGTCAATTTACGTATTACAAAGGTCATTAATAAATTAATTTTTACTTTTCTCATTAATTTTCAAGATTTACTCATCATAATTTTTCATGAAAAATACAGTCTAAAATGTTTATAAAAAGGAAGATAAATAACTGCATGAGCGTACCTGTATAAAAATTGCTTAGTTAATTATCAAATTACTCTTTCATGTTTGTTAATCTGATATTATTATGGTGAAAATTATTTCTTGTTTTGTTTTCGTTTATTCTTGCGCTTCCAAATTCTTATTCGAATATGCATTTACGACTTTTAAAATCTGAAAAACGCATGCGTGCGATGCGTCATGTGATGATTTGTAGGTGCTTTATTTTTTACCACAATATTTTCGACCACGATGTGTTTAAACTGGGAAATTTTTGAACCGCTTTACTTTCGGCAACGGCATTTTGTGCCACGATGTTTGAGAACTGAGATGTTTTCTCTTTGCTTTCTTTTCTCCCACGACGTTTTGTACTACGGCGTTTTCGCCTTCGTTATTTTCTCCGCGATGTTTTCGGCTGTAATCGGCTAATCTACCTATATGTGATGGCTTATGAAAACTTAAATTCATTAATTAATAGAAACATTCAAGTAATTGTAATTTATTTAATTCTTATCTCAACTGCTTTTTTTGTCCTGAAAAATTTCATTTAGGAAATATATGTTTGTATTAATTAATCTAAGCTCTGTAGCATTTCGATTGTTTGAGACTCCAGACAACTAGAACTGCAATTATGTAAATAGATTCCCCTCCAAGTCAAGTAAAGTTAAGCATATTGATATTTAATTTATATGTTGTTATTTTCTTTTACCCGACTTAAATTATATAAAAGTAAATTTTTGTTATCTTATGTAAATTTACCTTGTGCACATACAGTTTGTTATTATTATAATACTTATATCTTTCAACAAAAATTAAAGTTTTACTTTAATTTTTGTTGAAAGATATAAGTTATGTAGTTTTTTTAAAATGAAAATAATTTCTACATTTAACTTACTTCAAGACCAAAGCTGCTACAATTCATGCATGTTATGTGTTTAATTTTGGGATTTATGCAAGTAAAATAATAGTTTTTATTTGATAGAAAAATGAGATGTTTTAAAGCTAATAAAACACACTATTACGTTTTTTGAGGAGAGAATTTGTTAAGAAAATTTTGCATTCTTTTATGGAAATTAAAATATTTTTAAATAGTATAAAGTTTGCTGAGATGCTTTAAATGAAAAAAATAAGGTTCTGTCGCTTGAATTATAGCCTATAAGAAATTACACATTCCAATTATCCGGATTTCTGGCTTGGTTTGTGAGTAGAGTTAATCCGGATATCGAAAATGTATTTAAGTTTTTGAGGTACCTGTTTAAAAAAATATATTTTCGTGAATCAAGCTTTTACTATTAAAGAAATGGGAAAGAAAATTGCAAAACTGTCTAATTCGGTGTTTTCTTCTCTTAATTTGTTTTTAAATCTAACCAAGTTTTATATCGAGGGAAGGAACACGAAGCTTTAAAATTTTTAAACGTAATTCAAGTACAGAAACGAACAATTTAATCCATGTAGTAAGTAATCCATCTAAAAGGTCTGGAAATTATATTTAAAAAAAAACTCAAAACTGTAAAAACACATTACATAAGTTATAATGTTAAAAATCTTACGAAGATTGTATTTTCTTTTTTCTCTTGAAAATTTACTTCAGAGTTTATTGCTTGAAAATTTAATTTTCATGCTTGGAGCTGAAGCTCTAGTTGATGGAATTCTATATTTAACATTTGTTGAAGACTGCAAATAAAACTCAGGTTTTGCATAGAAAAGTTATAACAAAGATGTTGCAACACCAATTCCGATAAATTAGAGATATTTACCAAAATTTTTGAAACTTTCATTTAATGTATGTTTCGTATCTAAATGGCATTTTTCTGATAATAAATATAATATAAAATAATATACAAATAATAAATAAATAAAAAACATTTTCAGATCCGAGTAATTTTTCTTACATATATTTTGTTTTACTGAGACAAGGATTTTTTTTTAATTTAGAGATATATACATATAATAGACTAATAAAAAATTACATATTCTTTTTTAATTGCGTATACTGCGTTTTAAGTATTTTACTAATCGTAATTTTCCTTTGAGAAAAAACGGAAACCTTGTTTGATTCAGTATTCTTAAAGGTTTAAGTAATTTAGTAGTTTTAAAAGATTCAGTATTTTTTAAGGTTATTTTATTTTTAAGGTGGTTGAAATAAAGAATAAACGCTGACATTTCCATAAATTAATTTAGAAGTCAAACAACAAAAATCGCTTTTTGCCATTTGCGCTTTTGCAGCTGATGATGATGGTTCGTTAAAACTATCGAAACTAGTCGTGTGAAAATTTGAAAAATATAACACTGAGTTTTGTTGTTTGACTTCTAAATTAATATTTTTTCGGCGTATTATTGTGTCTTAATTTCCATAAACATTTGAATGTCTTTAATGATAGAAGTTTTATGTAAATAATATTTTTCTGTTTCATTTTGAATATATTCTATATGCTTGTTGTAACTGCTATAAAATGTAAATTTTGTCACAAATGCTGTTAATGATAAATAGATGTCGTAATAAACTAATAGGCAAAATTAAAAACTGTTGATTTTTGAACCCTTTTAATATGTGAAACAACTCTATAAGGATAAAAATGTAAGCCATGAACGCTTCAGGTTCGCGAGAAATCCGTTTGAGAAATATTATTTAAAGTAATATGTAATTATTTTAGCAGTAGTCTTTCACGATATGCTAAAAATTCCGCTTCATTAATTAAAATCTGGCATCCTTAATATATTATTTTAATTCCAAGCCTCTGCTTCCAAATATATAAAAATCTGAAATAATATTATCCTTCTATTTATATAATATTCAATACATGGCTCTAAAATGTTATGCTTTTTTATTATTTTTTAGATTTTACTTCATTTATATTATTGGTTGTATTCTAGCAGAAGGGCCCACACTAATTTTGCTTCTTGATGGAAAGATGTTATCAGCACTGTATGTAAGATAACCAATGTTAATTAGCATAGAACAGAAATTGTGCAAATAATACTAGTGTTGTATCTCTAAAAATTCTTCTGCTGAAGAAAAACCTGCATTAGTAATCTGGGTCTCCTTACAAACAGGTTTTTTTCGGAGGGGGGTTGCATGAGTCTTTTACATATAGGTGTCATATTCTTTCAAAGTTTACTTTTATTTATTTGGTTGTGGCACAGCAATCGATGCTTACCTATCTAAGAGGGGGAATGTCTTCGTGGAGGACTTAATTAGGCAAACTGATTCGTATACACGTTACACATGAGAAAAACCATGAAAACGCCCATGCAGCCAACTCGTTCACTGGGAATCGAACTACTTGTGTTTGTATGATGAGCACAAAATTGATGAATTTTCCTTGTTTTTAATTGAGATTTTTTTCCTTTTCTTTGCTAAATTTACAGAAAGAATTTATTAAAATATTATGTCTTTTGATTCACCTCAAATAAAAGTTTATTTATTTTTATATTTCAAAACGTTTAAGAGATTTGGGGAAAGTTTTTATTTAAAATACACAATGTATATTTTAGCAATGTAAACTTAAAAAAGTGTCTTTCTGTAGTCAGTATTATAGTAAAAAAAATTTTATATGATGACAAAACAGTTCGTTCTTGCAGACATTACTTTTAAGAAAAGCTGTTAAAAGCTCATTGACATTATGTTCTGTAAGTGATTATTTGTCATTTAACTTTTCTTTCTGTTTATCCGTCTTTTTCTTTGTTACTTTGTCTCCCTCTCTTAGGATATCTGCATAAGAGTCTGAAGTATCAAATGTATAAATAAGCGAGCTAAATCATCTTAATAACAAAACAAAATTATTTAAGTAGCGAAATGTTTTACACTAAGCATTCATCACGAAGGTTTTAAATAAATTTTGGTGAAACTGTTTTCAATTTTTAAGCGATATTCAAAAGTAAATTTCCATTTGATGATCCAAAATATTTATTTATACGTCAAATTTTAGATTTATACTTAATTATGATGGAAGATTCTTGTTTTTTATTGTCTACATATTTATTGCAAGTGTGCTTTTAATTCGTTAGTTTGATATCTTTATCGGTACTTTTTCTAAACCTGTTTCTACTGCTGTATGCATCCTTTAGTTGATAAAATTGGATCAATCTGCTTGTAATTTTCCACATTATAACTGAAACAAATTACTAACTAATATGTATTTGCAGCTGTGTCGTTTCCCAGCCGTATATTTTTTGACAAAAGAAGGAGCATTAGTTGATTGATGCCATTGCACAAAACGATACAGAAAAAGAACTGCATGGAATTGATTTTCTGAGCAACGCGAAAGCATTAACTTTTCTTTCATCTTATTGTCGGCCCATCGACTGGGAAACTCATTAACGAATGTGAAACAAAATAACCAAATAGAAAACATATTAATTTCTGGTGGCTTCTGTAAAATAGAGCTGTGTAGCTATGTTCTGAAGAAACGCTAGCTTAACCGATAAAATTTGTGTGGTCTTTTTCTAACCGGATGAAAAATACTGTGAATGCTTAAGATGCATTCAACTCTTTTTAAGTAATGCACTTTTCGAATTATGAAAAAGAAAAGAAAACGACCTTAAACAACTATTCCTGCAATTGCATCTTAATTTCCTTCCTATTGAAATTTATTAATTTATTAACTGTAAATAAAATAATAAAATATCAAAAGCAGAATAAACTGCAAAAGAAATATTTGGGTTTCAAAAATGAATAATATAATGTGTTTCGTGTTCGTCACCTGGTGTATCCGTCGAATTAGTAGACTGTAAGTTAGTTTTGCAACACAAACTTTAATGAATAGAAGTATTTACAATAACAGAAATTACAGTTACATTGTTTCGTACCCAGAACATAAGTATCGTTTCTTAATGACTACGTAGGTCGAGAGTAAAACTCTCTTCTTCCTTGCCTAGACGATCTCCACTCGCGCCTGCGCAGCGTTGCCACAAAAGTTCAAAGAAACAAATATTTCAAATTCGTAACATAATGTATTCCTCTGTTATCAGATGTTTGATATATTTCTGAAATGTGTTTAGAGGCCTTGTGTAAAAAGAATTCCTTGAAATATCATGTGCAAATGCAGTGAAAAGTTAGAGAATATCGATATGAACTATCCCCTTCAAGCTGTGGAATGTATGATTGGAACACCACCAACTTTCTTATTCATAATTTAATAATGATGCACTATCCCTCAAAATATACTTCACGGAAGCAACCCTTCTAAGCTTAATTGCCCTCGAATGATTTTCCGTAACAAAATAATAATCTAGAAAAATGAAAGATGCGTGCTTAACTTTTAACAAATGGCTTCATGATTTTTTTTTTAATTTTCCCAATTTACATCATATTTACAAGTCAGCTTTCGTTAGAAAGGTTTCAATGTGCGATAGGTATCTCCGTGTTGCTTTACCCTAATTTAGTCTAAAATTCTGCATCTATGAAGATTTCTTTTGATAATGAACTGAATACGAGTCCTCTCATTCAAATCTTTCTCCAGTGATACCAGCAGATGAAAAGCGTTAACAATTATGTTTAAATTTATACTTCAGTTTCGTGAAGAAAGTGTCGTTCTAAATCACATCGTCTTTTATCGATGATCTCTGTGACTGATAATATATATGTTACGGTGAAACACCGAAATCTGGAGAATGTCGACTTTCACCGGTGAATGTCAATATTCACATAGTCAACCTGGTGTATGTCCGAAATATTTTCCGAGTACTCTTATTTCTGACTTACACCGGTGAATGTCGACATTCACCATGTACTAATGGTGAATGTTGAAAATGTGAGAATATTACATTTTCTTCTAATTCAGTCGCGAAAAAAAAACGCACTTAAAATAAGAACATAAGAACTAAAAAAAAACGCACAATACATTCAAAATGAGAAAGGAAAGTAATAGAAGTTAAAAGCTTACTTAATTATACAGAACGTTCTACATGAGAAAATAAAATAATAGTAATAAAAACTTACTAAATTATGTGATCAAATCTTATTTATTGCAACAACTTAAACTATTCTGACACTTTATGACCTCTCTTTTCGACCTACACCAGAGCATATCTTTGATTTTCGGCATACACCGGTGAGAGTCCGAATGTACAAGAATGTAATGCAATATTCCATCTTTCACAGACGTAGTTGGTGAATATTGACATTCTCCGGTGAAAGACGACATTCTCATATTTCGCTCTTTCACGGTAACATATATATAAAGTGATAGGATTTTCTTATGTTGAAACGGGAACTATAAAACGCACCCGTACGTTTTAAAGGAAACATAATACTCGTATTAATCAAACAATTCCCGCATTTTGGACATTGCTCTAAGATTGATTTTTGAAGTAACATAGGTAACTAAAAGGGCGTATAAAGAATACGCGTTTTAATGTATGAATGTTATTTGAAAGATACGTTGGTAGATATTTTTTATGTAAGAATTTTCAATCAATATGCAGTGACGATCTTGTAGAGTCATTAGTTTAATTGGAAGCAGACAAGATGAAAAATATGCAACCGCCTTCGCCGGGAATCGAACCACAGACCTCTGAAATACCGGCTCAGTGTGCTGACCACTACACCACGAAGGCATGCTAGGAAAGCGGGTCCTTATATACTCCCCTTTTTAAAGGGCGACTAGGGTTTTAGGGGACCTAGTCGCCAAATCCTGGGTGCGGAGAATCAATATCCACAACCTTTTTTTAGTTCGAGCGCCACTGTAGAGACATTAGGTATATTTTTGGAAGCAGGAAAGATGAAAAATATGCAACCGCCTTCGCCGGGAATCGAACCACGGACCTCTGAAATACCGGCTCAGTGTGCTGACCACTACACCACGAAGGCATGCTAGGAAAACGGGACCTTATATACTCCCCCTTTTTTTTTTTGGAATACCGGCCCAGCGTGCTACGGTTACACCACGAAGGCATGCTAGGAAAGCAGGACCTTATAATGTAAAAATCTTCTTTGTCTCAGAGTGTTTAGGGAAAAGAACAAAAATCTCCGTTTAGATCCAATGGACGCATCCCCGAAAGCTTTAACACATAGCTTAAATTTCTACATCTCGAGAACGTAGATCAAAAGCAAGAAGGGAAGGGTTTTTGATTATGATCGAGTCATTTATCTGTTTGTCTCAACACGGTGAAGGTAATATTGTTTCTCTACAATTTATTATTAGAAATTCTAGATTTCAGTATTACTGGCTAAGATTTAACTTAAGCTTAGAGCCATTCACAAATTATTTCTTCTTTACCATGCTCATCTTCTTTACCATACCACCTTTTAGGTGTCCGGATGCTTGACGGGGACGTGACCGATGCAGTTGAAGCTCAATCGCTGAGCCTGAACCCAGATCACATTGATATTTACAGTGCCTCCTGGGGGCCCGACGACGATGGGAAAACTGTAGACGGCCCCGGCCCTCTGGCGTCGACCGCTTTCAAAGAAGGCATTCTGAAAGTAACCCGGTTTATTCATTTAATTTTATTTTGGTTGTGGTATTAAACGTTTTATATACATTTGTATGTTTTCCCCCCTAAAGATACAAAAGCGCATTTTGAATTCAAAATACATTTATGAACATACACAGATTCTGCTGTGATTTGAATCATAGTGTCAAAGAAACTACATAAACTCCGGATTCTGATTATAAATTTAAACGTCAATAACTAGAGCCCTGACATGGTTATAAATATACCTAATTAAAACTCAATGAAAGTAGATTCTTGGGGAATCAGTTCGTAAATGCATGTTTTACCTAAAATGTTGTACTTAAAATTTCATAACACATTTGTAAATCTATATCTGTAAGAACGAACAGGAATTAGAAACCTTCATTAATTAAAACAATTAACAACAGTGTGTAACTAATGCTTTAATGATAAACTGTTAAAATGCGAAACTGAATATAGTTTGTTATACAACATTGTCTTTTTCTCTAGCAGAAATTCTGTTTACGATTTCATGACTCTATAAACTCAAACTTAAAGCATTCTGGTGTAATGGATATAATATATCATCAATGTTATGTTTATTATGACGAGAGCAAGCAGCCAAAATCCAATTTCTCTTTTTTGTTTCAAAAAGTAACAATCATTATTATTATTATTATTATTATTATTTTGCAATTTTATGCAATTTTTATTATTTTTGCAATTATTAGTCTCGAAACGGGATTTGACGGCGTATCATTTTAAATGTATAAAACACTTTTCAAATTGTTGCCACGAAATATTATTGCCCTGTAATACTTTTAAATAAATTAAATAATGAGGAATCTGCATTAATGTATGTATGTTTCTCGCACTGTCAAAAAACGACGGTACCTAGGGCCATCTAATTTTGAATAATGTAATCCTTCATCCATCCGAACATGTGCACCTCCTGGAAGCCCGAATTTTGAATTTCGAATTTTATATTTTCATATTTTGTAACAGTTAAATGACTTTTTAACAAACTTAGCGATTTGAAAGCGAGTAGGTAACATTGTGCAAATTAAAACATTATTATCTCCAGCACGGGAGTCTGTATATCGGAAATTCTAAAGATATGCTGTTTTTAAATATTTTGTGATTTTGCTATTCAGTTCAATTTTATATGGTGTAAGTGCGAAGAACATGGAATTTAATTAACAAATTTAACACACAAAATGTTAAAATAAAAAGATAAAGAAAATTTTTGAAAGCCGTCTTACTAAAAAACTATACATTGATATGATAAACTGAGAAACGACTGAAAAAAATAGAAAAATGTATACCAACACTGAACATTTCATCGAGAATTCTAAACACATGTTGCTTTAAAACTTTTTGAAAGTTTGCTGTTGAATTGTATATGACGTTAGTGCTAAGAAAATGATGATTAAAATAAAGCTAAAAAGACAAAAAAGGAATGGCTTAGGATGAGTGAGTGCAGCAGCAAACTGGTAGACTGCGATCTCAGCGAGAGCGTTGGAAAACCTTAACAAAGCCTCTTGGGCAATGATTAAAATTCGAAACCTTTCAATTTTTTAACTTATTAATTAATTTAAGTTTTCTTTTATTAAAAATGATGGTTTGAAATATGACAAGTAGAAGTCAGAGCTGTCAGAGAGAAAAGCACTATTTGGTAAATTAATAATAGTGTTATCATTATTAATTTATATAATACTGATATTGTTTGTGTACAGTTGTACAGTTTTCTTGTACAGTTGCACAGTGCTTGTACAGTTTTCTAATTCATCGACAGTCTAGAATTTATAGCTCTGACATTCTATAAAATGACCAGAAAATCCTTTCCTCACAAGCTTAAATTAGAACTAGAAACTGTTGTAGGCATTAGTTATTTTTCTTTTACTAATAGTATTGTGGTATAACTGAAGAATGTGCTTTTGCATTTGCCGCCATTGTGTTATTTTAGCTCATAAAACTCCTTTATCATAGAATTTTGTAAACAGATTAATGTTTTGAAGAGTTGATTGATGTAGTCTTGTTTGATGAACTGTTTTTCGAGAGTTTGGTTTCATTCATGTTAGATATCTATTGTGGTCAGTATCTTCAGACTTCGAGTATTTTGGGGAGTTCATTAGGAGAAATAATTTCCAGTTAGTTTATTTTGATTGCTCAAACCACTGCTCAAACCACACTGATTTGTTGAAAAATGTATTTTTAACTGAAGATTCACTGATCAAGCTAGCTAACTAACCTGTAACATGGAAGAAGACTTCATGCTTTACCAGCACTCACACAGAAATGTTATACCAAAGATATATTGAACTTTGAAATTTGTAGAATAGAAATTGAAATATAATGTTAGCTTACTTATTTTATAGGAATTCAAACACAAATTAAAATTTCAATAACAAAAGGTTTATATATAATTCTGCTGCATTTGGAACTGAATGAAAGAAACGGCTATTATAAATATTTCATCAGGGCTTGATGCAGAAACTTAGAGAATTAAAACATTGTACCTCCACAAACACCGCTTGAACTTCTATCTCTCTTACTAAAGTTGCCGCTTCTAATTACCTCATCAATTCTTATTCTTATAATTTCCAGGGACGCAACGGCTTAGGTTCCATTTTTGTTTGGGCATCTGGAAATGGTGGACGCGAGCATGATAACTGCAACTGCGACGGATACACCAATTCCATGTGGACACTGTCCATCAGTAGTGCTACCGAAAATGGACTTGTGCCGTGGTACAGCGAAGCCTGTTCCTCTACGTTGGCGACCACATACAGCAGCGGTTCAAATGGCGAAAGGCAAATAGTAAGCTCTAATTGAGTTTCGTTGTTTTGGTAGCATATATATGTTTTACCCATTTTTTCCATATTTTTTCAATTGGAGAATTTTTTTTATTGATTGAAATCATGGTGATAAGTTTATAACAGATTTTAGATAGATTGTTTTGTGGGGGTTCTGGTAGAATATTACAAAAATGACTATTTTGCAGGTGACAACTGATTTACATCATGGTTGTACGTCCACTCATACTGGGACTTCAGCATCCGCGCCATTAGCTGCAGGAATTTGTGCCCTTGCCTTAGAAGCGAAGTATGTGTTTAGAATTTCATAACCTTAAGTTAACTATATAGATTTTTATGTTTATTAACCAGTTACCTTATCATTTTGCTTTTAATATCATTTCTACTTTCGTCGGCTCCCACCAGGATGCAAATAAGTCAATGAATTTAAAGCGCAGAATTTTTTAATTCGAGAGATTTTGTGGCAGCTATCGCTGACCGTCTCGCTGCTGTTCATCCCAGCATCTGAGTCACTGGAATCGGCTTAAGCTTTGCTAGCCGTAACAGCTCGCAGATGTTGGACCTGAGCCCAAGGCCTGTAGACGCCCTTTGTCTTGTAAATCTCGTACATCAATAATAAATCTTACTTCAGTTATTCCAGCCAGCTGCGGAGACAGATTCTATTATTACAGTGGTTGCGTTGTCAGAGCGACCAACTACTAAAAGTTGGTTTATATGAATCCTTCCTCTGTGTTGGAATTGGTTTACCAGCCGTCGATAACGTTTTTTGGCTGCTGGTCAAAATCAACCAAAATTTGTGTATTAAGGAATTTCGGGGACAGTGGTAGTTTCATTTTAAAATAGTCTTTCTTAGTGAATAATAAGATAAATTTTATTGAGAAAATAATTACAATACGCTTTGAACATGAAAATTAAAATTATAATTATTATAAAAACAAACATAACCGAATGAATTTTATTTTTCTTCTTGATATCAAGGGATACCCGAATGTTTAACCTGTCACGTCAATTTAGTCAAGTTTGACTTACAGTTAGTCTTCTTAGGAATGCAGACATGATGACAAAGCCATTTTTTGGAATTATGGATCGGTGTTGCCAAATTTACTGATTTTTCCTTGAAATTATGTTACAGTTTTTATTTCTTAATATAAAAACGCATGTTCCTTACTACAACTTTGAAACAAACAAAAACGTTATCTTTTTTATTTTATTTGTTTTCGGTTTAATTTTTATATATTCTTCAAGTTTTCGTTTCGTACTTGTGTTTTATAATTTACTTTTATATTTTGTACTTTATTTTCGGAACTTTAATAGGTCACTTGAAAGTATGAAATGTGTCACTTAATGACCAGCGGGTCATCGATTGCCGAGGCCTGACTTAGAGGCTAAGATGGGATGATAAGTTGCTTGTATATCCAAGGAGCGCGAGATTAGCTTTAAAAATAGTTAGGTTACGTACAGTGTTAACCAGTGTGCGAAGTGAAACATGCTCTAAGTTTCGACAATTTTAGTTTAGTCTCTGCAGGGTTGCAAGTCGGAGGAATGCTGCCAAATACAGTGGAAGGCTTCGGCTATTTCTGGAACTTGTGACTGCCAACCCTCAATTTTAATCGTAGGAGCTCAGTTTTAAGTTTTGTGGAACGTACTGAAAATTACTTTTTATAGTATCCGGAGATCAACAGTAAAGTTATAAGGTATTTCTCGCGCCTTCTTAGCGTGGCTTCGTGGTGTAGTGGTCTGTACGCTGGGCGCGTATTCCAGAGGTCCGTGGTTCGATTCCCGGCAAAGGTGTTGTTCATTTTTCAAGTCTCTTGCTTCCAAATAACCTAACAGCTCTACAGAGTCCATGTTGGAAAGGCAGGCCCTAAGTTGGTTTAAAGATATGTAGAGCGATTAGTTATTTTATCAGAACAGGAAATGGACAAATCTGCGATGCCCTCTCCGGGATTTGATCTTCGACCTTCCAGGTTCTAGTCGCACATGCTTCCATTTACATAACGAAAACACGCGGGGAGGAAAAAATTCCTTAATACTTGTACAAAATCGTGCCATAGCAATTCTTTTTTGCTCCCGAAATATTAGAAGTAATCACTCTAGTTTTCCTGTCGTGTTTACTGATTCGGTATTGGCGGTTTCACGTACTCGCGATTTAAGGGAAAGGGACCAATTATTTATGTTCCAGCATGCACTCCGAGTTCCAACAGGCTTGATATTGTGGAATATTGGTTAAACGTGTCAGACACTTCCAATCCGCTTGGAAAAGAGCATCTTCAGAAAAGAGCATTTTAAGAACATTCGGAATGATTTAATTAACTGACGAATGCTGGATTTTCAGAAACTTAAGTTTTTTCTCAGCTTACAGATCATTCCTTGGATTTATGAGAGAATTTTTTTTCTCCTGTAATATTCTGCTTGGCAGCTAGAATAATATCGGCAAGAAGTACATCCGAATTATAGCGAATCGTGGTCAGAGAAAATGGTGAACTCTTCTCTCTGTTCTGGAACCTTTATTATTGGAACCTATTATAAATTTTTGACATTTTAACCATTCTATCTCTTTGCATTGATGTGCTGGAAAAATTTATTATTGTTTCTATCATTCCTTGTACATTCAGGGCTTAAAATCAACTGGAACCCGGTTCCATTATTACTCAGTTTTCGAGTGAATTTCAGTCGGATCCCCAAATAAAACAAGGTAGGGTGTTTTATTTTACTATTTAACTGCCTATTTACTCATGTGTTCCCCCTAGCGTTTTTATATAAGGTTCTGAAAATTTAAAAAATATTCAAGTTATTTTTTCCTTCATCAGTGCGTTCAGAAAGCTAGCTCCCCTAAATTTTTATATTAAAGAGAAAAACGTAACCATTCCACAAAATTGCGCTCTTCCGCGTATATTGTGATTAGTGCTGCCATCTAGTGCCGAATGTAGAACATTTCACTTAACGATTTAGCTTGTTTGCTTGGCTTCGATTTAATTTTACAAACATGGCATCATTTACCATAAGATGCATTAGGATAATACAAATAAGGATCTTTTATTTCTGCATAGTCATATTTTAAAGAAACAAAAATATAAAAAAGCGCTTAATGTTATTAAACAGTTTTATTATTCAAATCTTGACATCAAATTTTGGGTCTCATTTATGAGGCTGCTTTCTTCAAATTTTGCTTTCATAGCTATTTCAGATAAATATACAGTTTTTCATATTGAAGTTTTATAAGTTTCGTGCATTTTTTAAAATTACTTGTGCCTAATTAGCGTTTTTTTTTTTTTTTTTTTTTCTCTTGACATACTTTGCCTACATATTCTCTCTTAATGATCTAACTAAATAACTTATGGGTTTCATGTATAAAAGATTAGATAAATTGGAAATTAATCTTTCAATTGATTTTTTTTAATCTCTAACTTAAATTATTGATATTGGAGGGGAGAATTTTTCCAAATGATAAAAGAATGCTGTAATAATAAGTGTAAAATATTCTGAAGAATATTGCAATTAGGTGTGATAAATATTATGTGTGATAGTTAAATTTTTTCCTCTTTTTTTTTTTTTTTTTTTTTTTAGTAAAACCCTACATATTAAAACCTTTTGTATATATCTATAAATGTAGAATATGTATATGTACAAACAGTTAGTTGCAGAATGAAATATTTATTTTTTAATATTAAATTGTTAATTTAATATAAGAACTAGAAGCTATTCAAAAACTTCTCAGGCCTCCCTAGCTGAATTAAGGCCTTAAGAGACCCAAAGCACTTAAAATATTTTGGTGCCTGTATAAATTTTTAGGCCAGTTTTTAATCCATTAATTTTTTTCACGGTGTTAGGTTTAGCTACAGCATGCATTCCATGGTAGAACGGCAATGGTCAATTTTTTGTGTCCCCTTTTCTGAATACCCAAGACCCCTTATAGTGCCCCTTTGCTCGATGCCCTAAGCACTTGCCTTCAATGCTGATTAATGGTTAATCCAATCTTGGAGGCTTCATACATTCATTTGAAGAATATTCATTTTTCCACAGCATATGAAACTACTTGGAACTGTTGTATACCCTAAATTTATGTGCTTAAATTCCACTAAATTCATTTATCACTACGAATAGTTTGGGGAAGGAGGACAATATTTCTAACTGCTATTTTATTCTCTGTATCTATAAATTTCACACAACAGGAGAAAAGTCAGAAGAAGTATTATCTATAAATTTCCAGGAGAAAAGTAGAAACAGAATTTCAGATTTTTCCACCTTTTTCATTGGTTTTTAGTTTCCTGTGTTAATGTGCAGCTGTAATTGTTCAGAGTTGAATCAACTAGTAATGTTACTATACAAATATATATACCTAACTGTTATTTTCAAATTTATTTTGGATTTATTACATATCTTTTTTCCTGTCGATAATGTAATATATATTTATGATAAGAAAATATGAATCCACTGCTACTAATAGAAAATGTTGCAGAGGGAATAAAATAAATTAATAGTGAAAAGAGGAGCAAATTTGTCTTTCTTAAATATTTTTCTGAACAGGAAAAATGGAACAGTTCACAATTAAAATTCTGTATCTACTTCTTTCCATTTTAGTGCATCTGCTTTAAACACATTTTGATATCTTTAAGGTTGTATCACATGTTAAAACATTTCAAAGCAACTCTTTAGAACAATATTTCTGCTTTGTCAAACCATATGAAACAGCCAATCACTGTGGATCGTTTTGGGGTTAACAAGTAAAGAAAAAACTAGTTCTAAATTACAAATGGTGGTTGATGACTAATTTTCGATGCTGATAGCGGAATGGTTGCTCGAAACAATAATTAGCATTTTTTTTTTGTTTGTTTTCGTGAAAGAAAAGAAAAAAAAAAACATGCGCCTTTCTTTCATTGGTAAAGCAGATAGAAAATTTGTTTGAAACAGTTGTTCATCTGAAATAAATGGATGTCTGATACCAGCCTTATGCTACTAACATTTTATCAAATTGTTAAGTTTCTTATTAAATACTTATTGCAGCGGATTAAATAATTTCTTCTATCTCTACTTTCACAGCAAAATGTTAACCTGGAGGGATATGCAGCACATTGTTGTCAGAACTGCAAGAAAGGCAAATCTTCATGCAAAGGACTGGAAAGTTAACGGTGTTGGCCGAAATGGTATACTAACCCTATTTTCTTTTGTAAAACTTGTTATGATAATATGATTTCTAAACATTTTCTTCTGACTGTCTATAGATTATGATAATAGTAAAATTTATGACAGCTGTTTTCTGTAGAATAAATGCATGATAAGCATTAGGTAGTGTATCACACTATAAATTTCTTTATCCAGATAATGCCAGTTTAAAGGAAAGGTGTTCAGGGTATATCTTGATGTACTTTAATCCACTCATTATTAGTCTCTTTGTAGTTACTTTTTAAATTTCCATCTGATTCAGAAATAAAAGACTTAAATCAAATTCTTACGGTCACTGGAATCCCTTGCAGTGATATCTTGCTCACTGCAGTTCCTTCCAGATTTTCATTTATGTGTAACACATTAAACTTTTAATTTATTACTATTAAGTGTGAAATTAATTAAATTAAAAAAACAAACCCATAGAAGCATATTGTGTGCAATGGAGTCAAGGTGTATTTTGTTCTTTATGCTGATCAAGTATCCTAAAGATGTGGTGAATAATTTAAAAAAAAAAAAAAAAAAAAAAAAAAAAAAACCTTAATAATTTTTTTCAGGAAATATGCATTCCTTATATGAATTTTTCTCAAACTAGAGTTGTTTTTATGTGACTAGAATTGAAATGATTTTCACATTGGGTTTTGAAGCATTGCTTTGGCTTTGTTATAAATGTTTATGCTTTTATCAGAATCTATTCATATACTTTTACTTCCTGAAATAAATTTTAAAACATATGGTGTAGTAAAGTAATCATATGAAAGATGTCTGGTATCAAACTTTAATCAGTGTAATGAAACTATATGCATAAACTAGTCTATCTACTTGGGCAAAAACAAGTTAATTTATGTTAGGTGTATAGCTTATTATTAATTATTATAATGAAGGTGTTTAATGTTAGATGTATAGCTTATTGTAATGAAGGTGTATAATGTAAGATGTATACCTTATTATTATTATAATGATGGTGTATAAAATGTTAGATGTATAGCTTATTATCATTACTATTTCACATTCAAATAATTAAAAAGAAAAGGCCCTGTGTGGCAGTAGGAAATGTTATATTGATTCGGCCTTTGCATGTTATACCTGATACCAGTGCTAAGCAATTTTACCGGTATTTTTTATTTCATCTGCAGAGATATCATGAGTGCTTGACATTTAAAATTATAATAGCAGTGAGTGAAAATACATATTTAAAAACATGAAGTTTTGAAAATATAAATTGAGATACTGGTTTCTGTATTGGAGATGAACTTCCCAGCTTTATATCAATGAAATCTTGATCGGGAGATTAAAGAGAGACACCTACATATTTCAAGTAGATGTAACAGACACTTTCAATTTTCAGTTTTTAATGAATTTTAAAACTGATTGTTTCTAAAACAGAATTAAGGTTCTTAAGGTCATACAAAAAGAGTTTAAAAAACCAAAAATACGAAAACAAAAGTACAGATTCTAAAGTCTCACTGTTTACTTAGCTTGTGTATGATGTCATAATGTAGATTAGTTCCATTTTTAAAGCGAAATTAATGGTGAACTTCATTTCTTGTTCAATTTCTCCTTCCTTGTGGAAAATTAATTATTTAGTATTCTATGTTTTTTTAGCCCAAAAGGCATTCGCCCAAAAGGTCTATTAATTTCATTTTGACAATTTGTGTTGGTTCACTTTTCAAACTGTTGACACTAAATGTTAGAGCCCCGAATTATATTTAAATCCAGTGCGCGAGACTGTGTATCGTAAATTTTAAAGATGTCCTCATTTTAAAATTATTTTGTGATATTGCTGTTGAATTGAGTTTTATTGTTTTTTAAGTGCGAAGAATATGATATTTAATAAATAAAGGTAAAAAACAAAACGTTAAAAAAAGGCCTCTTTGGGCATAATATAAAATCTGAAAGATTTCAGATTTTTATTATTATTATTTATTTATTTAACTTATTTATTTATTTATTTATTATTTTAGTTAGCCATTCCTTTGGGTATGGGCTGATGGATGCAGGAGCAATGGTTCGGTTAGCAAAAAAGTGGAACTCAGCACCTGTGCAGAAGTTATGTGAAATACGGTCAAACCAAGCAGATAAGTATGAAACATTTCTCTAATTTCATATTATTTTTCAAAGGCTGGTCTTTTCTTGAGTTTTAAAATTACATTTCATTATATGACATCTTTTTAAAGAACGCTGTCCATGGAAATTAAGAGCATGTGCTATATTTTCATCATCTAACTAGTAAATCATATAAGTTATATTAGTCAGCACTTTTTGGTTGTCTGTTTATATTGCATCTTGAATAGGCATGTAATGATGTCATTGCAAATAGTCAAGATGAATGAACATCAATGGTAGGAATTTCTTCTCCTAAATTTTCATTCACTTAAGCTGATGATTGACAGCTGCATTTAAGTCAAATTGCAAATTAGCCACAAATACAATATTATTGATCATGATATGGGATGTCATGTACAATTTAGCTAAATAAACATCTGCTTGCCTTGGCTGCCACCATCTACATTCCTTTTCATTGAATTCATGTCGTGGTGGCTGCAGAAAAAGGCGTAGATGTTTTCATCAGTGTTAAATAAAACTGGGATTTTTGTCTGCCTGTGTAATCTTAAAAAATAATCTGGAAGAATATATTTTGCATTTGTCTTTAATTTTTTTTTTAATTTATGGGTTAAGTAACCATTCTAAAATAGTCATTTTTGTCATGAAATTTTACATGTTAGGGTTGCCACTTTCTACTTAGATATTGTGCCAATATTTAATGGATAAATGGGGCTGTGTTTACAAAAACGTGCCTAATGTATTTCTCTAAATAATGAAAATTCATTTTCATGTGTTAAGTTATTGTCTCTTTTGTAAGTTTAAAATCCCAATCTTAATTCTGAAAGCTCATTGAATTCTCATGTGAGTATATTTCGTATTTATGTAACACAGACATAGTTTCTGAATATAGCAATATATTTTGGACATAACCTTAACAGAGTTTTGAAATGTGATGCAATAGTCACATTTCTAGTTTACTGTAAAATTCAGAAATATTTTCAAATATCGGAGTTTGCTCTTTTGGATGCATAATACCATAAAATTGTTTTGTTATTTTGTTTTTGCATCTTGCAGTTATAGTTTCAATGAAATATGGTTATTTTAGAAATTAAAAGTAATACTTAAATATTTAAAATTGTATGTTTATAAATGTTTCTGGTAGTTTTTAATGTTTAATTGCCACCCCTATTAGTTTCTGAATGAGCTTTACTGTAATTAAGTTTTGAGGCAGAGTGAATATCGGAGTTTGCTCTTTTGGATGCATAATACCATAAAATTGTTTTGTTATTTTGTTTTTGCATCTTGCAGTTATAGTTTCAATGAAATATGGTTATTTTAGAAATTAAAAGTAATACTTAAATATTTAAAATTGTGTGTTTATAAATGTTTCTGGTAGTTTTTAATGTTTAATTGCCACCCCTATTAATTTCTGAATGAGCTTTACTGTAATTAAGTTTTGAGGCAGAGTGCTTCTGAACACATCAGTGAGAGAAAATGTTAATTTAGGTCTTCTAAGATTCTGAGTTGAAAGGAAATAGTATTTAGTCTCCTATCGGGTCTACAAATATTTGTTGTTATTAATTTTATGACTATCGAAAGTTGTAGAATGACTTGATGCTTACTATTAACTGATTTTTGATATTTATTTTTTATGAAATCAACTCTAATGGTCTAAAGAAATTGTTTTAATTTAAAATAATTAGTCTAGGTATTAAAATATGTCTGGAGAATGATGCTAGGAAATGTATGAGATGTGCATTTGATTTCCATAGTTTCATTTACCAAATTTAAATTCTATCTATTTAATCTAAAAAAAATCAAAAATTATTAGTTGATATTCTAATTGATATATATAAGTAATTCTATAAATGATAAATTTATTTCCAAAATAAGAGCATATGGTTTATTCTAAAAATGAGATAAAAAAACTGTTAAAACTTTCAGTGTTAGATAGATAGTTATTGCTATGCGTTTTTAACCATAATATTCTCTTGCATGTTCTGCAATGTTTATTTCATTTTAAATGTCTGATTTAATTACCACTACTTGTTAACTACCATAGATTAATTCCTGCCAAGAGTCATGTGGAACTGAGTCTGTATGTTCGTTGTGAAAATGTTCGATTTTTGGAGCATGTTCAAGCCAAACTAACTCTTACAGCCTCCAGAAGAGGAGATATTCATATATACTTAACATCACCCATGGGAACTCGGTGAGAATTCACTTTTTGTTCTGTTTTGTTGTAATAATGGAATATTTTTATTACTTTTTATTCATTAGAATAATGATTTTAATGTAAATTTAGAACTGTTATTCTAACTTAAATTATCATAGAATATGAGCACACATTAACATTCTAAACTTTTTTTCAAAGAAGCATTGCATTAATTATGCTATGTTAATACTGTACAGCACTGACTGACCATTAGTGTTGAAATCGCATTGAAAAGTAATTTGAAAACTAGGCAGCTCATAATAATCTTCAGTGGTGGTTACTAAAATTGAGGTTTCATCTTTTAGTGTTATTTCAAAGCCATAAAAGATTATAGTAAATTTAGCAAATAATAGTGCAGATTTTAGAAAATATTTGCACTGTAGTACATATGGAAAAATAGGCAAAGGATGATGGAACATTTTTAGAGTTGCCTCTGTTACTCTTTCACAATATTAAACATGGAATTCCTGTCTTGAGTTTTGTAAAATTAATATATCAGTGCAGTTGCACAACCATGGTCTTCAGTGTTTGGTAATAGCAAGTAGAAGCAATGAAAAGATAAAATCAGTAACTCCTTTGAGTTTGGCAGAGATTTAGTCAAGATCTCTCCTCTGGTTTCACTGAGTACATTATGTCATGGTCGGGGAGGAAAATGTCTACGACTATGCAACAAAGATGTGATTAAATTTGATGTTAGTTTGTGAAATGCTGTAAAAAACGAAAAGAAAAATACACTTGAAATGTTGCAGTATAAATGTAGTGAAGGAGTGTTTAGCCATACTTCAGTATTTCAGTCATTAAGGCACTCTGAGGAGCAGCAGGTAAGGTGATCGACTAAACAAATTCTGGCAGGTTTATCCACTGTGGTTATGGATGAAAACATTATTCATGGGAAGATGCTGAACAGGGATTAGTAAATAATAATAAAATAAATATTGAAAAGTATGTGTGCAGAGCCAAGTTAAAGAAAATATCAGATTTATTTGAGAAAAAATAGTTTTGATATAGAAGAATACAGGGTTGTATGTTGCCACTGTTTCATTGTCAGCACTGTCTGATTTCAATTGCTAATGCTTGAATACTCTGCATAAAAATAAGGATGTCACAAAATAGTTTATTTTATGTTTCTGAATCATTTATAAAGTGTTACGAAAAGTATAATTCATTGTGAAGTATTGAAATTTAAAAGAGAAAAATATAGGTCCAAAGAAGTCATCTGATTCTAAATAAGAGAATCAAGCTAAAGACCTTTCAGTCAGCCTACAGAAATACTCTTGAGTTTAATTTTATTGATTGTGATTGAAAATAAAGAGAAACAAAAGCAAATTTTTAAAGATTTTCTTTATCTGCCGCATATTATTTTTGAGATTTTCATGAAAGGCAACTTTCCAAATGAACTTATAAACTAAAATTATAAAAGTCAGATTATTCCAGTTTTACAGCAATTTAAAAATATTTATTAGGGAAATCATTGCAGTAATATCCCAACTTACACAGTTTCTTATTCACCTTGTTTTATTTTATGCATTTATGCTTATAATTAATTTGCATTTGAAATGGTCTGTTATTAAGAAAATGCTGATAACTAAACGATTACTTTGCTTATACATTATGGTTATATTATTCAAATATGTCAAAACATGCAAGGGCTATCAGCCTAGTGGGAAGTTTACTTTCGTGGAGGACTTTCTAAGATAAACTGGCTCATAGTCGCATTACACATGGTGTAAACTAACTGGGATTCTCTAAAAGTTAAGTAGGCAATCAGTTATTTTGGAGAAAAGAAAGAGAACCAAAAGGATAACCTTTTAGATGACCAAAATCTCAGTGGTGCTCGACTTGGTGAGGCCTAACATAATAAAAATATGCATCACAGCATTTTAATTTATGCTGAAAGCTCTAAAAATCCACATTCTCTTAAAAAAACTACAGTATAGTTATAATTGTGCTCACAGATAATACAATGGCTCTGCTTTAATGTATTCACAGTGTAGTGATTGTTTTATTCTTTAGTACAGAGAAAAGAAAAGTATCGAATTTAATATTTTTATTTCTTTAATCATATCTTATAATAAGGAATTGAGTAGTCAGATGAGTTTGATGAAGCATTAGGATCAAATAAACTTCGCTTTTGATGTAGACCATTCATTTTAATACTGTTTTGTATTAATATATATGAAAATCACATTCTTTATCCTTAAGTGTTTTTTAACCCTCTTTATTCCTATTCATCTACAATCCACATACATTTATATGCAAAGTTACTGCTTTTTGGTGGTCTCAGCTACTGTGTAATGTTTGGTTTTTATTGTGTCATCATTCTGGAATTAGCTGTAAGTAATTTAGTTAAATAACAAGTGAGAAGTTTCTCTGCAAGGGCTTTAGGGAACTTCAGTTTATTTTAGATAAAGCATTTTCTTTCTATAAGTTAATGGAAACATTTGACATGTTTGGAGCAATCGTACCTTTGCATGAAAACTATTTGTTCTGATATTTGTGACAAATGCAAATTGTCATTTTTATTTCAGCTGCTGATCAGAAAGAAAAGAAGAAACTTATTTATTTTATTTATTTTTAAATTTATGCAAAACATTCTACTCATTTGTGTTTTACTCTAACACACTGGTTTATACATTCTGATTTCATTCTCTTATATGACATCACAATTAATTAATAAACATTCTCTGGAATTAAGTTAATATAGTTTTCCATACATTTAATTTATTTGGCTTAATATCAGTGCAATTTTTAATCATTTTTTGGGGAGAGGACAAAGATAAAACACCTTATAATTGTATTTATGTGATTGGTATGGGTGAATTCAGTTAAGAAAATATTTATGCAAAAATTTTAAAAAAGAAAAAGAAAAATGTAGTGCTGGCAAATGTGGTAATACTGAATTTACTCAGAAGGGGATCATAATATATTGGGATAGCTATGAAAATTTGGTTGGCTATAGCCTCATAAATTCTATCCTGCATCAACACATCTACAGAATGAAGTAATTGTTTGTTGGAAGCAGAAATATGAACATTGTCACTGGCATTGTAGGACCAGCTCAAAGCATAAGCATCATAGGAAGCAGCCTAGCGTGTCGATTTTCTAAGGGCACTGATTTCTTGAATTTGTTCTTACATTGATGATCTGACATACCAATCACAGTGACATAGCAATCAGTTGTCTGTCTTTGTGTTACATATAGTGGGAGAACATTACATATATTCAGGCAGAGCCATGGTGACAGATTTTAATATCTGAAACAAATCGTGGCATCTAATTATTTTTATCACTTTCATACAGACATTTAACTTATCATTTTTTTCCATCTGCATTTCTATTTGATAAAAATGCCAAAGCATGGATCTGGTCTCTTATCACACTCATATAAAAATTCATACTGCCACTTTTAATAATATCCTATGAGATATCTCTTGTTTACAACTTATTGTACTATTTAAGTTGTGCACTATTGTCCTTCTCCATCATATTCTCCATTCTAATCTCTAATCGAGCATATCTGGGATTGGACTCAAATATGTCTGGACTAATCAAAATTTGTCTGTGCATCTGGGCTGGTAATATTATCTCTGACTTCTGGAGAGGTTGGTAGCAGGATAATATATAAGATGATCAGATTTTCTTCCCCCCCCTAAAAAAAAAAAAAAAAAAAAAAAAAAAAAAAACTGTCGGTCAAAATTGGAGTTAGGTTAGGCTCATGTAGTTTTAAAAATTAAATAATTCAAGCCAGTCTATCTCTGAATAATCCATCCAGGCAGAGATTGCATGTGATCCCTAAATGTTATCCTGTAATTTATATGCTTAACTGAAGCTTGCATTGGTAGTCTCATTAAAATATGTTTTTTGGAAATTTAATGTTTATTAAAACAAAATCCGTATTATTTTACTTCTCTGCAAAAAGTTCCTTCTTGGATGGTTCACACTTATTGACTATCGAATAGTATTCTTTTTTTCAGTGTACATGGGCTGTGAAGAATTTTTTAGAATAAAATTTAATTTTATATGTATGTTCTTTTTACATGCTTATTGTGAATATTTTCTACCATTTATCGTTACTGGAAACTTTATTTGTTGAATTATATTTTTAATTTCCTTTTATTTGCTACTAGGTCGACACTCCTCGCCCAGCGTCCAATAGATGGCTCTCGTGCCGGTTTCCAATCTTGGCCTTTTATGACCGTCCATAATTGGGGAGAAAATCCCGATGGCCTTTGGAAATTAGAGGTCCATAATGAAGGTCGATTTTATGGTAGGCTATAAATTTTATTACAGATTTGATTTTCTTTTAATGTCATAGAAATATTTCTCATTATTATGAATTATTTTGTATATGTCTCACTTATTTTATTAAAGATATAATTATGTCTCAGAATCATATATCTTAAGTTGCTGATGAGCATCATAAGATATATGTGAAAAAGGTATATTTAAGAAAACTTTCAAGAGAACATGTCTGTAATCAAATAGCTAATTTGTCTAAAAATTCAGCCGTATTATTTTAATATTGGCATTTTAGAAATTAATAATTAAATTATCATAAAATTAAGGCTTTGTTTTATATAGTAATGCTTGAAGTAACTATTATATATAGAATAATTCATGCATAAAATGTGAAATTAGCAGCTAATGGCATTTATCATGAAATTCCCACCGTCTCAAAAAGTTATAACTATTTTTCCCTTTTATAAAATAATTTTCATAAATGAAAACTTAATATTTAAAACACGTTATATATATTTTGCATGTGCTTAGAAGACCACTTTATTTCAAATTTGAGGAGTATTGTTATACTTTCAAAAAACTGGTTAAAATTTTTGTACGTTGGACTTTATATAATTTCGTTAAAGCACTGCCTGAGGTTTATTTGTTCGGTGTCGTGATTTTGAAATCTGTTTCAGATTAGTTGCATGTCCTCTGACTTATTATTACTGTCTGAGGTTTTTTTTTGTTATATAATTTCTTGATATTGTCTGTGTAAGGTTAGCTATATTTTTTTGTGACTTTTAATTCGCTCTCATCGATATACTTCATATTTTCCAACATGCTTGCTCCTGTGACTAGTTACACTTGATCTGCCTTATTCAATGCTTGGTAAGTTTAATGTCTTAGAATGATGTTCTTAGTTGATACTGGCTTGCAAAATTATATGTGTCTTTATTAAAGAAAGGTTTTGTTTATTCTATAATTCCCCAATGTGGAAGTTTTGTTTTTCAAATTTAAATTCTTCAGTTTCAAATAAAGTTTGGAAATATTTAAATGCAGGGACAATTCAAATTTATTTAAATTGTGATTATGCAAATTTTTAATTACATAACAGAATTACTTTCCAAATTCAAGAACAATTTTCAGATTACTGAAAATAAACGTGATCTGTATTTATTCAAAAGCAAAGATCTGGGACAAATCAGATATTCTGAAAACTGATATGATTTTAAAGGAAATATGATATAATTTCTGTGTTTTACATATTATTTGTGGACGTTCTTATATGCTTAATTTTGATCATTCTTTCTTAAGATTTTACAATAGCTTCTTTGTTCTGTGTTTTGTTTTTATAATACAAATCTTTGGCTTCAGTGAAAGAAATTTAATAAATGTGTATCCGTATGCATTTTTTTTACTTTGTATGTGTGTTAATTCTGGGCCCGAATGTGGATTCTGAGCAATTTGTGAAATTTTTGTGCCTGTAATTCCTTTTCACATTATTTTGTTACGTCAACAAAAGTTTTTTTCTCTTTCAAGTACTACTCATTTTTCCTAAATTTTCAGTTACTGAGAAGCCAATATTGAAAGTACTTGTAACTGATTTAAGGGAAAAAAATACTCTGAAGAACTGTTTTAATACAGTCTTGAATATTTGAAGAATTTCTTGATGCAGTAACTAAGCTAAGTGGTTTCACACTTTTAGACAAGAGTTTAATTAAATATTTATGTGCGAAGATCTTTTTTGCAAACCACTAAATTACACTCAGTGCATCAATAATTGCATAAAAGTACAAAATAATTCTTAATAATTTTTTGTATGTTTCTCCCATTATACAATATTATCCCATATATAATGTATTTCTCAATACAGGGCCGGCACTAAATTTTTTATAATGTGGTGCGATCTGTAATTCCTAGATTCTGCTGCCAAATTTTTGAAGAATTAAATAACAAAAATTTAAAATTCTTATTGATTCTTCGAAATTTTAAATTAGATTCTTATTAAAAAAAACAAGAATCTAATTTTGAAGAGTTTATAAAATGCACAGGTGGTATTAAGGTTTTTTACCCTTTAGTATCTGACATTCCGAAATTCTGCTGCCTGATGCTTCGAAAAGTTAATTACCCTAAATTCAGGAGCTGCGACACTAGCTCTTGCCCAGATCTTGTCTTCATGTTATTCTTGATGAAAAGAGACTTCATCATGCCATCTTTTGAAATGGCTCTCTGTGAAAATTTTGGCAATGGAATAGTTGCTAACAGTTGGTATCTTCATGAACTTTGCATCGCTGCCCTTGATGGCAAATAAAGATGAAGTTCATTTCTGAAAGTGCTACAGTATTATTCTTTTCTCTTCTGTGCACTTCTGAAATATATGTAGCATTTAAATCTTTTTGGGAAGCATTAATTGAGTAAGAGATGAAGAATCAAAAGAATATAGATAAAAGAAAATGAACCTTATGATTTTATATTTCAGACCAAAAAAGATTAAGTGTTTAATCAGTCTTTAGATGAATAAGGTTTTTGAATTATACGAAATTTTCATCACTTAATTTCTGAAAAGCATTCAAATTTAAAATTTCCAAATTAATCAAATTTAAAATTTTTAGGTTGTATAGAGTTTGGTGTATTTCGGATTGGATTTACGGAAAGGTTGTGCAACATATATCTAGTCTGAGTCTTATAAGTGTTCGAATCTAGCTCATGAACTGTAAAAAATCCATTATTTAATAGCAAAAAGTGTAACTTCTAGAAAAATATCTAAAATAAAGAAAAACAATGGAAACTTAATGGGTGATACCTTACCCATCACAAAGTAGTGTTTCCAACCATAATTTTGATAAAACTATCAAACAGCTGAAACAGTTTCATCAAATATTAGTTCCTGAGTAAGAAAAGATTCTTAAATGCAAAAATATAAAATATTATCTTATGTCTTACATTAAGACAAATGTTATGCAAAGTAAATGTAAGTATTTATTTTATGTAAATTGGAATTTAATACTTGGAATTTAATTAGGGAAGATTAAGAAGAATAGAGGCCCTAAGCTCATAAAAGATTTAGGTGTCTGTTTCTTTACTATTCCTTCTCTCTCTGTCTTGGTTTAGCTGCAGCATACATTTCATGATGCAATTGGCAATGAGAAATTGTTGTGGTGCCCCCTTTCCTTGACACATACTTATTTTGCTTAGTGGTTAATTTAATTTTGAATTAATACTCATTCAGCATTCTTGGAGAAAAGGGAACAAGGAGCCCACATTCGTAATAGCTTTATAAATTATTATTGTAGCCTTTGGTTGGTATGCAAGCTATAAGTAAAGATTTCAAGAAATTTTTCATGTCTAAAGTTTCGACAGCCTTTGTTTATAATAAATTTTAATCTTTTATTCTAATAAAATGTAGCTGCTTTGTATTAATTAATTTTACTTGAAAGCCAAGTAATAAAATTCTTTTATGTTATATAATATATTATATAAAATATAAATATTTATATTAAATAGTTTTGAATTAATCAAAAAGTAGAATGGATTGTAATAAGTTTTTTTCTGTTGCTTGTTTTTATCCTTTGCTTTAGTAAACAAAATAATAAAAGGAGTAAATTTGTAAGCATCAAATCATGCAAAAGACAGTGTTATCAAGTGAATGCTTTTAAAATAAATAGAACATAGACCATTATATTCTTGCTTGTCAAGGATGTGTTGAGTGAGGCAGTTGTTTCAAGTAAAGAATTAAAGAGAACAGAAAATAAGTAAAGGAATAAGTAAATGTTAATATGAAAGTAACAAAAATTATTCATAGAAGTAACAGTTTTCAAATTTAATTCATATGCTGAAAATTGATAGTATGATTATGTTTTCATTGAATTTTTTTTCCTTCATGAATTCTGTTTTTTGAAATGTTTTCTTTCTGTGGGTTACATGGGAAGTAAAATTTGAGCAAACTATATATAAAAAAATTCTTCTCACAAATGAGTTATTCTAAGACTTTGGATAATTTCTACACAGCTTTAAATGCAGTTTTTTCTTTAGTTTATACTTTTAGCATCCAATTATAATATAAGTAATAAAACACAGTACTACAAAAAACTTAGAATTGAACTTTCTGGCTTTTAAGATGAATCTTCAATTTTGTGGAATTTACTGATTCTTCTGAAATTTACTTTCAACATAAATATTCTTTTTTCAGGTCGAGCAACACTAAAAGAGTGGTTTCTGCATTTATATGGAACAACAGAAGATCCAGATGGCCCTCTAACATCAACTGCCACTCCAACCACCGTACCAACTACCACTACTACGACCACAACTGAAGCTACTACAACTACACTCAAACCCAAACCAACTACATCAAAGCCAAAAACCACAAAACCAAAAAGGCCTCCATGGCCCAAACCAACAGCTCAGTATTATCCTCTTACCTCTGCCAAACCTCGTGATTACTCTGATGAAGAGGAATTCAGCAAAACACAAGAAAATGGTCTCGCACAAGCCAATAGGAAATTAGACAAGCAAGAAACAGGTACGAGCAATTTTTCTAATTGGTTGATCATATACGTACATAATGGTCACTTGAAGCTAAGCAAACTTGTTCATAGTTTTGTGGCTATGTGACTGTGTAATTTGTCTTCCTTCATGATTGTTATTCCCAATCTTATATTCATGTCTAATGAAAGGGATATGAAAAGACTGGCATATAGTTTATAAATAAAATTTTGCACAAGGCATGAAAATTGATTTCACAGATTTTAGAATCTTTTTATCACCAAGAAAAATTTATGAATATGCACAATATAGTCCGGTTTTGATAGCACATTCAGAATGGATGTAGTAAAAAACAGACTACAATAAAAAATGACATTTTTTTAATATTTTAAATTTTATATTTCATTTCATTACAGGAGTGGAAATAGTATGCCAATATTCAAATGAGCATCTTTTACACATTCTGCACTTGACAAGTGCATGTAATAAATGAGAATATTTTCTTTAGTAAAGAATCATATATTGCAAATGTTTATGATTTTAAGACCGTATCTGACAGGTGGAGAATTATGATGTTTAAAGTATTAACCGAGAACCCTTATTAGAGTGTTTACCATGCTAAAAAATGACTGAATGATGTAAGGCATAGTCTTTCAAAATTCATTTAGTTATATGTCCAGCTTTAGAAAATTTTATATAGCTCATATATTTGTACTTTTTGTAAAATGAGAAAAACACCCATTCAAACGCGTACACACACACTTGTATGAACAACATTTTAAAGAAGTTTCAAATGAAGCATTTTGAATACTTGTTCAGCTGTTTCTAATTGTTTTCAGGACTTTAAGAGCATTTAGAACTTTTAAAGTTTGAATTTTAAATTTCTAAGAGCATAGATTATGTTGTTTTAATTTGTTCAGTGTAAAAGTTTTAAGGATGAAATATTAATATTGCTGGAATCTGAATAACTAGTTACTGTCATTTGAATGTTTGTTATGAGAAGTAAATAAGCAATTTCATGACTTCATTACTTTTTTCTTATTTCTTCAAGTAATGAAACTAACATTCATCTGAAACTTTTGCACATTCTGCATATAAAAATTTATTTCTGAAGAAGTGATTTAATCAATGCCATTTTCTAACTTTATTTAAGATATAGATATAAAGAGAGATGTGATGTTTTTGTCTGAAATGTTAAGAATTTTTAATATGTTTTATTTTACATACATTATGAATACATTTTATCTTCCTTTTGTGAAATTCAGTTTGAAGTAATTTTTGCACTTATATTCAGTTTTCTGGATGCAATAATATACTAATAAGTCAAAATCGTAAAAACAACCTTGTATTTAGCGTAATTATATTGAAACACTCAATCAATTTCGAGGGCAGCTAAAGTTCCCTCCTCATCAGAAGAAAGAAATACATAGAAAGAAGAAAAATAAAGGGGAAGAAGTCTCAGAAACATGTGGCCCTTATCAGCACTGCACGTGGTTATAACCGGATTTTTTAATCAGAGTTACACTGGCCGCCTACTTTTACTGAGCCAGGCTATCTGATCAATCATGTAACACAAAGGAGAAGAAAAATTAGCGAAGTTAAAAAAATAAATAAATAAATAAACGAATAAGTATTTCTTTGTAAAAAAAAGGGGTCCGATCCCAAAAGAAGTGGTTTCTGGCGCATTTTAGCATGCATTTTTTAAAGTACTAGTGAAATATATTCATTTACAGATAATGATTCATTTAATGTAATTCTTACATGAAGATTTCTTGTTATTAATATCTGTAGTATTAGTGATATAGTTTAGCAATGTAATTATTAAAACTGAAGCATTAATGTATAGGAAAGCTAATATCTACCAATATCAATAAGATGCAGATTATAAAAAAAATAACATTTCTTGAAGATATTTATTGATTTCATAAATAATTTCAAGAAGCATTTTCAAACTTAATTGCTGCTTCTGACTATGATACCATCATATGATTTTGACTTATGTTTTGTATTCGGGAGGTTTCTGCTAATAAGTTTAATTTATTAGGAGTGTTACTATTTATTTTCTTAAAAATATACTTTTCACATGTCTTATACTTTTTCATTCTGTAAGAAGTTTTATCTCTATTTCTTAAAAAATAGGTATTTTTTTCCTTGTCATATTATCTCAGTTTTATCAAAAATGCATTTAGTCAAATTTCCTTACATTAAATTTGAATAAATTTTTAATTTTAGGAGTGCTTTTTCCAGTTCATATAATTTAATACAGATTCATAAGAATCTCTAATGAAAAAGTAACATAGTGGAAAAAATACTTTTATTTGCATTTTGTATAAACTGGAGTAATTAGCATATGACATATTTCAAATGATATCAGTAGTTCAGTACTGTTTTTCAGTAGCCTTTTATTTATATATTTTTAATAAAATATTTTTTTAGATTCTATCTCCTCTTGTAGGGATTTTAAAAAAAGTAATCAACATGACTTTTAATGAGACAAAATGACTCTAACAGGGAAATGCACTTGCAGTGAAATTTCTTCAGATTTAGGAAATACTTTTGTATTTTCACTAATTAAAATACAGTAAACCTGTTCTGGCTGCTTTCTTTAAAAATGATCACTACCTTTTTTTCTTTATATATATATATATATATATATATATATATATATATATACAAAGCATCGTATCTAAGATGACCTCTTTGACTACAGGTTAGCAAAGTCTGGAACTGAGAGTAACTATTTTAGGTCGATTTCATTGTTACTTAAACAGAGTACAAAGCCTGAGATATGATCTATTGTAAATTATATTTCTTTTAGCATGTATTACTTAAAAATGCAAATATCTTTAGATATCTATGGTATAGCTCTGTTCCATGGCATATTTCAAAAAGATAGGGAACTAAAATCTTTTGAATAGCTGATCATTCTCATGGTTTCAGTAAAGAAATGTATCAAATGAGATAAGCTTTCAGGCTATGACAATTTTTGTCGTGTGTCAAACTTTTAGCAAACTATTCAGCATTAAAGGTTTTTTGTAAAAGAATTTATAATTAGTGAAATGTTTCTTATTCTGCCAAAGATTTTTGAAGGCTGAAGTTTCATTATATGGAAATTTGTTTCTGTAGAAAATTGTGAGAATTATTACACTGTTTTTACTTGAAGAATATTTCACAAATATTGGTTTATCAAGCCGGTCATGTGAACATGGAATTTCATTAAGATAAAAAATTTCAAAACTAGTATCTCTGCAAACAGGGATTTGAAAAAATGCTTTATGCATGCTTCCCTGTAGCTGCAGACTGTTTTTTCTGCATGACAGTATGCTGTCCCGCAACTGCATTCTTCTCATTAAGCAATTTCTAGTAAAGAAAAGTGCCACAGTTCTTAATTACCCCATTATTCACAAGATTTGGCACAAAGCTCTGAAGAGATTCTGAAAATCATGTAAGAGACCTATAAAAGATGCATTTTATGAAAAGTTCAAGCAGCTGTATGAGGACTGTATATATTACAAGGAGTGTATATTGCAGGCCAAGAAATAAGAATGTTGTTTTCTTCAAGCATCAGCTTTGTAAGAAACTTAGTCCTAAAAATTTGTAGACTCATTGTGTATTCATGCAGTCTTTTTGGAATACCTTAGATATTATGCTTAATTAATTTTTAGTACCACCTACTGAATTACCTTACCCTGATGAGTGAGGTGAAGAAACCTGAAACTGTGATATTATATTCATGATAAAATATGTGCTTTTATTCTTGGTTTTCTAAATGAAGACTGTTTCATAAGATTACCAGCCCTATTACTGCAGCGTTGTTGCTTCAGATTACAGAGATATTGCAGTAATGTGTAATTCCCAAAATTCTTTCAGCTATCTCCAACACTGTATTGCTGTGTGTTGAAATGTATTAATAAGTGGATTGGGGGAGGGAAGATTATATGAAACAACTGTGTCTTAAAATGCTTAAACTGCTGTGTATCTAATTTACAGGTTTGGAAATAGAGCACAGTCATTCATGATTAAAATATTGGTTTATTTCTCATTGATACAACATCAATGTTTATAACACCAATAATAACCATTTTGGTTTAATATATAAATCAGTAGAATCAGTAGCGTAGCTAGGGTGGGGCAAGGGGGGGACATCTGTCCCCAGGCACAGCATCCAAGGGGTGCCAAATTGATGCTACGAAATTTTTTAATGAAATATTTTCCATTTCTGGCACACAGAAAGGAGCGCAAATTCTTCAGTTATCCCCGGGCGCTAGAAACTCTAGAATGCAATATATAACTTCGCAGCATGTAAGCTGTAGGTGCAAGCTTATTTATGCTCATCTCTGATAGCTTGAATGCAGTTCTACTAACTTTTCAACAGTTACAATGATATTTCACAGCAATGATATGCTGCTAAAGCTATTTTGAGTGGATAACTTTATTGTATCTTTTAGTTGCTCATCCACATCTTGGAAATTTGTATCTGAACCATAAGATTGCATTTTGCTCAGTTCCATGCTTTTTCATAACACCTTTTGTTAGCTTTTCCATAATCCCATAATCACCCATAATCCTGTGTCAGGCAAATTAACCCAAAGAACTACTGCGTTAAATTGCACCATTTGCTAACACTGGAAACAAATCTGAAATTTAGCATTTTAAAAGTTTAACGCATAGAAAATGCATTGTTTCTGCACATTTTTGTTTAAGCTTTTATCATTGTTCAGAAACCGCTGCTTTTACTTAATTTTACAAATTTTCATAATCGATAAGTCATCATATCTTCCTCATAAATCAGTTCAATGGCATATAAATAGCAAACTTCATCCTATATTTGCATTTTCCCTCTAGCTCTTAATTTATGAGCAAAGTGTACATAGCATTGCTACAATAAATTTCAGTGAAGAAACATAGTGTCGTTCAAGTTCTATCACAGTTAGCAATATGTTGATTGAGAAATATTGATAGAACATATATCCATATTTCGAGGACAATACAGGTGAGGTAAATGCTAAAGTGCAGGAAAAAAGTTACGTAGCTAAG